TCTTAAGAAATACCTTGGGACATCTGACTAAATGAAAAGATATTCTGTAAACTCAAATTACTATTAACCACAAAACAATTTTACACATGGTATTTATTGTATTAAGGCTATCACTAAACTCAAATTCAAACACTGATACCTTTAAGCGGTACAAACGTATTCAAAAATTTCAATACTTTCGAGCATCCTTTGTTTAAGGACAGGTCGGTGGGTCTTGCTGAACAAAATGCATGAGTGGAATGCCTACTTTTTGCAGTGGTAAAAGTTTGCTTGCAAGGCCTCTATTTAAATCAAATCACACACAAAGACGTGCAGGCCAGGTTGGAGAAATTGTAACTGTTCACTAAAATAGTGGGAGTTGGGGTCTTCTATGAGCAAGATAAAGGACAGGAATTCAAGGCAAAACAAAAGATAATATTAACAATAACTCATATTTAAATAGAATAACAATGAAGCATCCAAAAGGATTTCTCAGGAGCATTATAGAGGAATGACACCAAGCCACATAAGGAAATAATAAATTAGGTGGCCAAAAGCTTGATCGGAGACAGGAAGGTTTAGGAGGCACCTTTGAAGGCTACCTTTGTGCTGTAACTGGCAACTTATGAACTTTTCACTGTACTCATTTGAGTATGTGACAATAAGGCTAATTCAATTTAATTCAATTAAAAGGAGGCAAGTAAGGTAGAGAGGCAGAAGTGTGCAGGAAGTGAATTGCTGAAAATTTCGAACATCACAAAAATTAAAAAATTAAGTCACTAACTGGATTACCTCAGCACCAAATCAACAAATTGAGAATTCTGAAACAATAACACAATGAGGACAATGACATTTTTCAGGGTTAAGAACCACAATGATTAAAAGTACATTTTGGCAATTCAAGCTTAACTAATGTTTTCAGTCTCTAATATATACATACACACAAACATAAATTGAGATATCACATGAAAGTGTCACCAATTTACATTAGGGGTTACTTCTGAAATAAATTTGAAATACTTCTGAAACAGCGAAGGTGGTTACCTCAGAAGCCAACGGGACCTTGGTCAGATGGGAAAGTAGGCTGAAAAGTGGCAGATGGAGTTTAATTTAGATAAATATGAGGTGCTGCATGTTGTTAAGGCAAATCAGGGCAGGATTTATACAATTAATGATAAGGTCCTGGGGCGTGCTGACATACAAAGAGGCTGTGGGATGCGTATTCATTGCCGCTTGAAAGTGGAGTCGCAAGTAAACATAGCAAATAGGAGCAGAAGGCAGCCGTTTGCCTCTTGAAGCCTGCTCTGCCATTCATCATGATCATGGTTGATCGTCCAAATCAATAGCCTAATCCTGCTTTCTCCCCATAACCTTTGATCCCATTCACCCCAACTGCTATATCTAGTCAACTCTTGAACACATTCAATGCTTTGGCATCAACTACTTCCGGTGGTAATGAATTCCACAGGCTCACCACTCTTTGGATGAAGAAATGTCTCTTCATCTCTGTCCTAAATCACCTTCCCCGAATCCTCAGGCTTCGACCTCTGGTTCTGGACACACCCACCATCACGAACATCCTCATTGCATTTACCCTGTCCAGTCCTGTCAGAATTTTAAGTCTCTGTGAGATTCCCCCTCTCTTTTGTCTGAACTCCAGCTAAAACAATCCCAACCTTGTCAATCTTTCCTCATAGGTCAGTCCCGCCATCCCCGAAATCGGCCTGGTAAACCTTCGCTGCACTGTCTCGACAGCATCCTTTCTCAGAAAAGGAGATCAAAACTGCACACTATGTTCCAGGCGTAGCCTCGCCAAGGCCCTGTGTAACTGCAACACATCCCTACTCCTGTACTCAAAACCTCTTGCAATGAAGGCCAACATACCACTTGCCTTCTTTACCACCTGCATGCTTACCTTCAGCGACTGATGTACAAGGACACCCAGGTTCCGCTGCACACTCCCCTTGCCCAATTTACAGCCATTCCAGGTAGTAATCTGCATTTTTGTTTTTGCTTTTGAATTAAATAACTTCACTTTGATCCAAATTATACTGCATTTGCCATTGATTTGCCCACTCACCCAACCTGTCCAGATCATGCTGAAGGATCTCTGCATCATCATCCAACTTTGTATCAGGGTAGTGAAGGAGGCATTTGGTATGCTTGCCTTTATCGGTCAGTGCATTCAGCGTAGAAGTTGGGAGGTCATGTTGCAGCTGTACAGGACATCAGTTAGGCCACTTTTGGAATACTGTAATCAGTTCTGGTCTCCCTGCTACAGGAAAGGTGTTGTGAAACTTGAAAGGGTTCAGAGAAGATTTACAAGAATGTTGCCAGGGTTGGAAGGTTTGAGCTATAGGGAGAAGCTAAATAGGCTGGGGCTACTTTACGAGCATCGGAAGCCAAGGGGTGACCATATAGAGGTTTATAAAATCCTAAGGGGCATGCACAGGGTGAATAGCCAAGGTCTTTTTCCCAGGGTAGGGGAGTCTTAAGGTTTAAGGTGAGAAGGGAAAAATTTAAAAAGGGACCCAAGTGACCACTTTTTAATGCAGAGGGTGGTGAATGAATGAAATGAGCTGCCGGGGAGGTGGAGGAGGCTGGTACAAATAAAACATTTAAAAGGCATCTGGGCGAGTACGTGAATTGGAAGGGTATAGAGAGATATGGGCCAAACACTGGCAATTGGGACTAGATTAATTTTGGACATCTCATCAACACGGAGGTATTGGACAGAAGGATGTTCCCCTGCTGTACATCTCTATGATTCAATACTTCAAATTACTCCCATCGGCTTTTACAGCCATTCTTTGTGAGCAGCATAATACGAAAAGCAAGGAGCTAAAAATCCAGTTATCGGGTCCATTTTCAGATGGTAATAACAATGAAAAAACTATCAGCATTCACTGCTATTCCTGAACTGAAGGAAGCAACAATGCCAGAAGTCAGCATATGTAGAAATCCAGACACTGTTGTCAATGATACTACATTTCTTCAACACCCCAAGCTCGCAGATTTTTTAATCTTCATTTTAGTTTCTATCTGAGCTAATCATAAATTTTAGTATTGCTGAAAGAAAGAAATGCTAAGTTCTTTCTCTTCCACTCATCTGCACAAACACAAGCATGGCAAATGGAAAACTCATAACAACTGATACTAAAGGAGAGAAGGGCCCTCTTGGTTAGTACTCATGACTATTGGCAAGGCACTGCCATGTACAAAGTAACAGGGAACTGGGCTCCCCAGTCAGCCAGGCAATTCAGTAACAGCACAACATTTTTCAAACTTTGCCTTTCCAAGGTAATTTGAGATGGACATCTGAAAGTTGTGGCCTTTGGCCCATTTGCAAGTTTGTATGATAGACACAAAACGATGGTCTAATCAGGATAGCCAGCATCTTGGCAGATTGCTTTGATGAGCTATATTTCTGCATCACGCTTGCAGGGTGAGCAAATGGCTTGAGCCCTATTTACAGGATTGATGCAAAGGCTGAATTTTCAGTTCAGGGAGCTACTCTATTTAAAAGAAATAATGTTTGTTTTGCTGCCCAAGAAATACCTATAAAAGCACTCAGTGCTTTAATTTCCTTTGTGCTCAGAGAATACTTCAAATGTGATCGGCTGTTTAGCCTGCTGCTCAACATCACTGTTGTTGCATGCCAAGTAATCCCTTCAACTTGACAACAGACTTAAACTGCAATCGGGGGAAAAAAGGAAGCCCATACCATAAATATTACTAGACTTTTGTGTGTAGCTTTCTGAGGTCAGCAATGACTGTTATTGCCTCACTGTTGACCTTAAAACGTAGGCCAATGGTTTTCCACGGTAGTGGTTGAAACAGCACAACTTCCTGTTCTTCAAATTTACCAGATCCACTTGATCTACCAGAATGCATGCAAACAACCTTGGTAAAATGCTGCAACAAAACTGTGGATGAGAATTGAATGTTCTTTAAAGAATATTAGAATTTGAACATATTGCTTTGAAGATGTGCAGAGTCAACAAGTTTAATAGGTTAGACGCAATGTCATTAGAAAACACCCCTTTGGCTTCACAAGAAACTAAATTTTAAGATTAGTGGAATTATTATTATTTTTAAAAAACTCATTCACAGGGTGAGGGTGGCATTGGCTGGGCTAGTATTTATTGCCCATCCCAGAAGGCGATTAAAGAGCCAACCACATTGCTGCAGGTCTGGAGTCACATGTAAGCCAGACCAGAAAAGGATGTCAGTTTCTTTGCTGAAAAGGACATTTAGTGTTCCAAATGGGTTTTCTGACAATTGACAAGGGATTCATGGTCACCATTAGACTCTTAGTTCCAGATCTTAATTGAAATCAAATTCCACCATCTGCCAAGGCAGGATTCAAATGCAGGTCCCAGAACATTAATAGGGTCTCCGAATTAATAGTCCAATTATAATACTACTAGGCTATCACCTACCCAAATATACTTTATACTTTCAACTTTCAGATGCTTATTTTAACTTTGGAGACAAGTGGCTAGTTTTGAGAATATATGCTAAAATAAAGTTATTCAAAATAATCCTGACACAAAATTATAACAATGTTACAGCTTTTGAGGTTGAACCCAATGGATTATGCATTCAAGAAGAAAAAAAAAAATCGCAAGAATCAATATGAAACTGCTCGACAATGCTCCTGGAAGGATATCATATCATACCACCATAATTCTTTCGACTGACAGAGGGTGTTACATATTCTCCTTATCCTTCATTTGATTAACAAAATATCAATATCTGAAATTGAGTAATTATTTGCACAACCCAATGCATTAAAATGGGAACAATACATATTGCAATTACAGAAACAAATTCCCGCAGAAATATAATGAAGGTCAACAACCTGAAAGGATGACTGGTGCACACAAATCAAAAATCAGCATTTTAAAAAAAACCTAAATGTGATTTGTCAACACTTATGTTGATTTTATTCTGACGTCTACTAAGAGTATTTTTCATCAAGATAAGCTCCAGTTCTATTGAGATAAAATTATACTTACATTATAATCCTTCTAGTCAGGAACCAATACTTCCGTCTGTGTCTGTCATATCCTATAGGCTCATGGCGAATATATGGTTTATTTTTCTGGATTTCAGGCACACAATCACAAACGCCACAAACTTTGTGTGCCACACAGATCTCACACTGCCACTCATCCTCTGGCACTTCTTCAAGTGGTGGTTTCACACATTCCAAATGGTACACAGCTGAGCAGGTTTCACAGCAAAGCAGATCACCAAGCTTGTGACAAACCCGACAGTGGTCGTCATATTGGATCACACCCTCTGACATCAATTCCTCACGGGCAATGTTCGTTGTAAGGAACTGATCCACTAAAAATTGAAGAACTTTGATTTTGTTTTCAATTGGTCCATAAGGATATTCGTCCTTTTCCTGATAGGGTAATACGTGATGGTATTCCCGGTCACTTTCACAATAGGCCCGAACCAGTTCTGGCCATGTCATCCCATCTATAAGGTACAACGTAGAATTGATGCTATCTTTTAAGTCAGCAGGACCAAAGGTGGTGTTCGAAGAATCCTCTTCTCGCAAAATCGCTTTCAGCAAAGCAATGTGCATTTCTGCAATTAATGTGCACTGTTCCTGACCAACTAATGCAGCACAGAAGTCTTCAAAGCGGAAAGGTGAAAGACGCAACACTGCACCAAAATTATTCAACACCTCATAAATAGCAATAATGCTCAACAGCTCTTCACTGGGGACCAGTAAGTCTTCTGAACATTTTGGAATATCAAGAGGAACAACATTTGTTTCTTCAAACAATGGCGATCTTGCCCGATGCACCCTTGTCTGTCTTCGCCTCCCTACAAATACAGCAACAGAAAAAGTTAATATTTGTGTAACTTTCTAGATCAACCACAAACAAGCAACAGAAAATTACTTACAATTGCACAGATCTTTAATCTAGCTTCTCCAATCTTTTCCCCCAAATATCTGGGTAATAATGTATAGATATATGTTTATTAATTTATCATATCGAGGGTTCAAAATACGGAAATGTGAACGTACCAGCGTCAGAACAGTAAGCAACTTCATTTTCTTGTAGAAAGGACAGTAGAATCATTTGCCTACCACACAGTCAGCTGATAAAATTGGAAGAAGAGTTGCTAAAAACATAATATAAAATATATATTGCACAACAGGAAATTGTTGTCCAGGCCAAACAGTGTGTTTCTGGAGCACACCTACCTCCACATAGGAATTTTATTCTATTTTAAAATAACACTAGCAGCTGAAAAGCATTTTTGATATAGAAAAACAAACTACTTCATAGAAGCCCAAATCAAATGCAAGCTAACATTAATCCTAAAACAAAAGCCTTCTGAGGAAGGGTCACCGGACCCAAAACGTTAACTGTTTTTTTTCTTCACAGATGCTGCCAGACCTGATGAGCTTTTCCAGCAACTTTGTTTTTGTTATTAATCCTAAAGATGCAGCGAGTAGGAGAGGTGACAAAAACTTAAGTTAGTTTTTTTGAGGGAATCTTAAAGGATAAGAGATGAAAAAGCAGAGAGACTTAGAGAAGGAATTCCAGAGTCTAGAGTTGACTGAAAACATGGCATATATAGAAAGGTGAACGATGAACAGAGGGGAGGAATATAAAGTTCTCAGAGGGTCGTAAAGCTGGATATGGTCATTGAGACAGGGAGACACAGGGGTATTGAAGAATTTGAACAGACTTTTAAATTTAAGTGAACTGGAAGGCAATGTAAGTCAGCAAACAGATATGCTAAGTAAACTAACCTTAGTATGGAACAGGATATGGGCAGGAAAATTTTAGTACATCACCATACTGATATTTGCAAATTTGAGCAAATATCTTGAATCATTCTTTACTGCAGAGGACGTAAGTAACATCTCAGGAATAGTACACATCAGGAAGTGGATGAGAGAATGTAATTTTAAAAAATTCTATCACCAGGGATGTGGTACTGCAGGCTGACGAGGGCCAGATCCTGATGGACTTCAACCAAGAGCTTAAAAGATGTGTTTGAGACAGTTGATGGCTTGTTTTTAAATTTTCCATACTTTCCCAGATTTGGGGAACCTACCATTAGAATGGCAAATAGCCAACTTATTCAAAAATGAAGGGGAGGTGAGAAAAGGAGAAGAATGGTTGGTGCGGGGGGAAACAAGGAAAGAGGGAAGAGAAAAGGAGTGAGGGAGACAGAGGATTGGTTACTTACTGTGAAAGTACTATCATTTGCTGTGGTCTCTTGTAACAAGTGACTGTTTCACTCTCAAGTTTGATTCCGAACTCGCGGCCAATTGAACCCTAAACTTTGAACCTTCCTTCTCTATAAGGCAGATAAATTAATAACAAACATGCCATAGCTCTGGGCAACTGGAGCATTCGACGAGCGATGCACAACAGGTCTGCTGGATTTAGAACCGGACTTTTTCGGCTTTGTCTTCACCCTGATAACACCCGATTGTAATCCAGATGAAACTTAAAACGGGTTTGAGAATTGCTAGTACAAATGTGTGCAGCATAAAAGCCACGACACGATGTGGCTCCGGTTGGCTTACCTGGACGTCAGAGCAGATTTCCTGTTTCTGCAGGAATGTGGGATACCACACTTCAGCAGCCACAGGAAAACGACTGAGCTTATGGGCAGACAGGCCTTCGATTTGGTCCAGAAAGGGGGAGCAATTGCCGTTCTTCTGGCCTGGGTATTATACTGCAAGGAAGCAAATTCCCATCTCCGAAGTTAAGGTGGTGGTGGGCTGCACCTTCGCAGAGCTGATGTTATGTACAGAAACTCGTCGCTGAGACTAATTAACACGTACGCCCCACTGATAAAGTACGAGCAGCTGGCTGTCCTTTAGCAGCTCCCATTGCTACTAGCAAAGTCCAGGTCGTTTATTCTGGCCAGAAACGTCAACTGCATCATCAATGTGGCTGGAAGATCTAGAGGGGCTGACAGCAAACTAGACACCACATTCAGATTTCTGATGGAAGTGGTAAAAGACACCAAGCTGCACGACGTCGTCAGCAGCCCCCTGCAGGCAGAGCACAGTGTTGATACACCTGGTCACAGCCAGGCAAGTAAATCCACTCAAGGTTAGGTTTCCTGTCTGAGTCCCGAGCATTCTTGATCATAGCCACCGCAGTAAAGCTGGTGTTCTTCTTTGACCACTGCCTCCTGCTAGCTGACTGTGACCTACAGGACAACCAGCAGACCAGCAAGGGAACGTCGAAGTGGAATGTGAAACTGTTGACCCCAGGACACACTGAGGAACTCAAAAGGGATTACACAGTTTGGGGAACCGTGAAACCCCTCCTTGAGTCTCCAACAGACTGGTGGGAAACAGTCAACAGGAACATAAGAGGTTCTTCATCCTCAAAGGTTTTCAGAAGGCAAAAGATGAGGTAACCTGCCTAAACTCCATAAATGTATGCAGACCTTATTCCTGCTGCAGACAAAGGGGGTTGACATCAAAGAAGATCTCCAGGAGGTGAACAGCCAGCAAGCCTCACTCTTTGTCTTCGAGATCTCCAAGATAATCTTTGGTCCAAGGTCCACTCCAGGGAATGAAATAAGTCATGCCAATGTTTCTTCTTCCAGACGGAGTACAGGGGGAGCTCTGCAATGAACGGCCTGAAGGCAGAAGATAGCTCGGTAACATCATCTCAGTCTAACATCCAGAAGATCAGCAAATCCCTTTATGCCAGACTGTATGACACAAAGTCCACAGGCAGTATGTCCTCCCATTCATTGCTGTCATCTATCACAGGTCTTCGACAACAGCACACGGGAGAGGCTGAACCAGCTGCCACCTCTGTATGAGCTGACCAAGGTCTCAAGTCCTTTGAGAAGAATAAAACTACTGGAAGTGGTAGCTTACTGGCCAAGCTGTATTCAGCTCTGTGGGGCTTGACTGGGGAGGTAAAGGGGCAGTTACCTAACCTGAAAGATGGGTCTGGCCTCACAGCACCAGAACACTCCAAAACAGTTGGTCTGTTCCCAATGGAAAAATTTACAAAGGAAAATACCTTGGACCCAAGTTCATCAAGCAGTAGTCTACACATAACATGCTCCAGAACCTGCAGGAAAAGGAGAGATCTTATAGAGTTGTTCCTTGAGTAAACTGTCAGTCATTTGGCAGAACGCATCATTGCCAGAATTTTCCAACAAGCACCAAGACATAGCTTGGCTGGTAGTAAGAAGAGCATCACCTGTTAGACCTTTCACGTACACTTGGACACTCTCCACCACCACGTGCTGCACTTGAAGAGACTGCGGGAGGGAAGAGACTGTCATACATCTCCTTCTGGAATGTGGCTTTGCTAAGAAGATCCGGAGACAGAGATGCAGTGGTTTTTGTCAACATTCATCCCAAGCAGCTCCGCAAAGCAGGACTCTGTGCTCTACGGGCTGTTCATAAAATAGAACAGAATTCCTATGGCGTGAAACAGGCCATTCAGCCCAACAAATCCACACCAACTCTCTGAGGAGCATCCCATCCAGGCTCACTCCCCTACCCTATCCCTGCAACCCCCACAGCCAATCCACCTGACCTACACATCCTCAGACACTATGGGCAATCTAGCATGGCCAATCCACCTAACCTGCACATCTTTGGACTGTGGGAGGAAACCCACGCAGACACAGGGATAATGTGTGTGTGGAGTTTGCACAGTTGAACAGTTGCACAATTGAACCCAGGTCCCTAGCACTGTGAGGCAACAGAGCTAAGCACTGAGCTGCCTTGCTGCCCCAGGATGCACACCAACAGAAACATTAACTGTGCGTGGAGGACCATCAACTCTGTGAAAGAAACCGTTTGGTCCTCCAGTGTAAAGAGTTGACTTTGAGTGAGTGTTGCAGACTGGGACTGGACTACTTGTTCAGGAATGCACTAAAGCTGGGAGCAACTGCTGCCAAGGCGCAGTGAAGAAAAACTACTGCATAAGGTCCTTCTGCCAAAGTATAACGAGGGTCTGTTCAGTCATCAGACCCTTTCGTTGTCTCAAAAGGCATGTAAATAGTGTATTATCTACTCATGCAGGACCTTTGTTTGCAAGTGCAGGGAAGCCCTGAAGAATGTCAAATTCCAATGCGTTTCTATTTTTCCTCTGGCAAAGACTGTACAGAATTGTTTTAGTATCTTCTGTTTGTACACAAAGATTATTTTTTTAGGAATTACATATATCTATGCAATATAAAATTAATAACTGATGGACACAACAGGAGACTTTATACCTAGATTTTCTCAGATGCAATCTGACATGCAGAAGCATTATTCTCCATTATTACTGTCTTGGATTGTTTTTTGTTAGCCAGCAGCACAATACAGTTCACCTAAGGGCCTCCATGCTCTTCTACTCAACTCTTAATAAAACAAAGATAAACTCCATTCTGTTTAAGCTACTATCATGTTATGCGCACTGCACAGCCAGTGTGACCGACTCCTTTACATTATCCAATACTATTGTGGAATCAGCTGGCATGATTACACAACAGCACTAACCACGCCTTCTCAAAATTCTCTTCCACAATGAGCAATTGACCCTTTTTAACTAAACTACCGCATACCCATCAAGTCAAATGATTCACCATACTCTTACTTCTTCTAGAACCTAGGGATAATCCGGAATAACAGGTCATATTTTTATGTTCAGCGTAGCAGATTTAAAACACAGATGAGGAGAAATTATTTCTCTCAAAAGGAGTATGAAACTGTGGAATTTGCTATTCCTGAATGTGCTGGGACACTGAATTTAAGGAGGAGATAGACAGATTTCCAATTAGTAATAGGTTGAAAGGTTATGGAGAGCAGGCAGGGAACTGGAGTTGAC